CGTGAAAAGTATTATGTCAAAATTATGTGTTTGTTGTAGTTCATACCAATGACAGTATGGATATCTGCGTATAATTTGTTAGTGTAATTTTTTACTTATATACGGATAACGCCACCTTGTTAAATACGCCTTGCTCCACTTAATACCCTCAGATCTATCTTGGAGCCAGCAATGTAGATGGTCTCAATGCCCTTCTGTATTGCGATTCCATAAGCGAATCATTCGGATTCGAATACTTGACACTAGGAATTTGTATTAGTCCGTGCCTTCCGAATCGCATTGAGGTTTGAATCGAAATAGAGAGCAGACCGCCCTTTATTATTTTGCCGTGCTGGATGAGTGCAGCCAAGATAATCAGCCTCAATGCGAGAGTCGTGTTGAATGCAAGTCGTTTTTAGAGAGTCGAATCGTATCGAAAATTTTACGACATTGCCTAAAATTTCGACTCGACTAGTGAATTAAAACCGAACAACTTGGCAGCACGGCATAGTTTTCGACGATTTTCGTCGTTTATTCACCCCTATTATGGTTGTCAACCTCAATTGTCACTTCGTATCATTATCAACATCACGTCGTATCAATATCAACGTCGCGTCAATGCAATTCTGGTATTTACTTCATCAATGTATTGACGTTGACGTGTTATCGATAATTTAATAGCAAACCTACGATCCTTATATTTTTGACAATTGTTTATTTACAATTTGTTGTGCATATGTTTCTGTTAAAGATTAAAACTTTTGTTTAAAGATGTTACTCGCTTACTCGGAGCTCGTCAGCTACATTATAAGCCGGAAAAAGCAACACAAATCGCAAACGTTTGTGCTGCCTTACATAATCTTTGTATTGACTTTAATGTAGAGTCATCAAGCTACGATTCATAATCCGTTCAAATGTTCAAGATGGGTTTGAAATTGATGTATCTGACAACTTGCAAAACATGGAAGCTTCGCAAATACGGCAACAAATTAAAGAAAGCTTTTTGTAATTCGTTTTTGGTTGTTGTTATTAAAAAATATAAAATACTTCAGTATTTTGTGCATAAAACAAAAATTTTTTATTCTATTTTTAAAAAATTCATCTTTAAACAATGCTTTCATAGCATTGATGTTTGTAGTCCTCGGGACAATAGGTACAACGTTTGTATGAAAAAAACTTATAAACTATATTCTAACTAAATTCAGTCTCTCTGAGGTCTTCATTGACAGACTAGTTCAATTCAAATCAAAAAAAAATAATTAATTCAACATAAAACATAAATAAATTCAATATAAAACTATATAAATATCTGTTAGTCAGCTTTCTTAATTTTTGCTAATTGTTAATATTTCTAGTTCAGCCTCTTTTATTTCTAGTTTAATCTTTTTTAGTCTCATTTCTGTTTGGTACAGATTCTCTTCTCTTTCATCCTGCCTTTGCATTAGCTTTAGTTTTTTTCGCTCTATTTCTAAGAGCTTATCAAATGAGTCATACTGAATGTTCTCCATTGAATTTATATTGTTCCCAATTTCCGCAAGGGTTGTCGACATTCGTGTCAGCACACCCTCTTGCATTTCAGTGTGGTTTTGCAACAAATTCTGCCGCTGTCTATTTGCGCGAACACGACTTCTCCTGCTAGTATGAGGAGGTGAATCTGCATTCTGCCCAGCATTTAAATTTTGGTTCTCCGCAGCATTTTCATTAACTGGAGCTCGACTATCTTCTACAGAAACACTACCGGCGGTGGTGTTGTGAGCCCAGTGGTATCATCGAACTCCATCATTGTAGGATCTACCGAAGGAGCTGGAGAATCTTCTCGTAGCACTTCTTGTAGCACTTCTTCAACACTCATGCAACTTCCACTTTTGGGAACACCTTGAGCCATTAAGTTGCTTGCCGAATTGAAGAAGGTTGGCAACCTGCTCCTCCAATGGGCTCAGCACCAATTGCTTGTAGCTTCCTCCTCCTGTGGCACGGCACTCCTGCTTGTTGTGCACGAGCTTTCTTTTAACCTTGCATTTCAGATCCCTCCAAACCTTTAAATTCACAAAAAGTTAAACCATATAAGTTTAAAAATAAGTTGTTTTTTACCTTTTGCCAACCCTCACCATCCCTGAGTGGTGGACCGAGAGCATTGATTGCACTTGCAATATCCTGCCATTGCGACTTGGGAACTGTCCCTTTGGAAAAGCCTTTAGCAAGCGCAGGATTTTTTTCTAGTTCTAAAACAAGCTGCGCAAATTGATTGTTGTTTGTTATTTTCATTTTTCTTTCCATTTTCCTAAATTAAATAAGAACTAAACAAATAAAGTGTGTAAAAAGGTATAATTCAGAATTATTTTACCAAATTTTTACAGCAGAATATTTAATTGAGCGCTTGTCGGCACCAAAAACTGTATTGACAAGTTTTATGTTGACACCCGTCAATAGAGGCCCTTATTATGAGCTGCATTCGATTTTCGATCTTCGCTGGCTACCGAAGATCGAAGATCGAAAGTGAAATTCGTATTATGAGCTATGCAAGCGTGTCGAAATTTTCGTTGAGTATCGAATTTTCTGTCGAATAGAATTTTGCTTTCGATGGTGTAGCGAAGTGTTAGAAAATTGTGAAAAATGTATGATTTTGTATATGTTTTCTTACATTTTGGCGGCTAGACATTAATTTTAAACAATTTTTATTAATTTCATGCAGTTCTAACATCGTGAATACTAAACACAAGCTCGAAAGGCTGGTTTTACTTGTGAAAGAAAATCCCAATACTCTGTTGGCACGATCTCTGAGAACAAAATCGTAGCGCTGTTGATGGTTGGTTGGTTGCAGTGCTTCCTAGTCGCTGCCCAGGATACAATTAGCGCATTATTGCGCCATTTTGATGCACTTCTCGCGGGGGATAAATATCTTGTCTATGCACTTCCTATGTTGCTAGGTCGAACCATTTCGACTCTCTAATGAATCTGCCGATTTCGCTAATGGTAGCTCCTGATAGGTCGGTTAGTTCAGCTATTAGATGTTTCCCTAACGTCTTGTGTCTAATGTTCGAAAGGCCTGGACATTCACACAGGAAATGCTGGACACTTTCTTCGCTATCTTCTAGTTGACAGCTGCGGCAAATCATATTATGGGGTAGACCTATTTTTGCCGCATGTTTGCCTATGGGCCAGTGGCCTGTGATGGTTGCTAAAATTCTAAATACCTCTGGTCTTGATCTGCTAAGCAGGTCCAAGGTTTTCGCCCTGTTATAGTCAGGCCATAGTTTTCTCGCTATCCTACAAGTCTGTATATCTGACCACCTGCGTCTAGCCAGTTCAAGGAAATGCGTAGTAATCTCTCTTTGGACTACTCCAAGAGGGCAACCCAGTGCCACTGCCTGGGATTCATCCAAACCGGCTCCTGCCTTCGCCAACTCATCCGCCTTCTCATTGCCTTCTATGTTCCTATGTCCGGGAACCCAGACAAGAGAGACGGTATTTGACTGAGACACTGGGCGCAATATTACTTTGCACTCCCCAACTAGCTTGGATTTGGTAACCGGTGACGCTATTGCCAATAGCGCCGCCTGGCTGTCAGAGTATATTGTTGCTTTACTGCTGTGTCCAACCCTATTGCCTAGGATTTTGCAGGCTTCTAGGATCCCTAGGACTTCCGCTTGGAAGATGCTTGTATTATTTCCCAACCGTAGAGACAGAGCCACGCCTAGTTCCTTGGAGTAGACACCTGCTCCCACACCGCAATCCATCTTGGATCCATCGGTGTATAGAGAGATCTCTTCTCGGTCGGCCACTCGGTCTCTTCTCCAGTCCCTTCTGGATGGGAATAGCACTTGCGCGTTACAGCTGAAGTCCAAATTGCCTACCATATAATCTGTCGTCCTATTTAGTTGCATTTGATTTATGATCAACCCATGTCCGAAGTGTCTAGTCCTCCAAAGGCCCGAGTCTCTGAGTCTGACCGCCGATTTCATAGCCACTTCTTTCAGGTGGAGATCAATAGGAATTAAATTGAGGATTGCGCCTGTTACTCCTGCGCTTGCTGCCCTTTGTATGCTTCTTAGCTTGCTGACATTATATTGTCTGCTTAGGCCGGGCCACCAAACCAAGGCGCCGTATGTTAGAATTGGTCTTATGATCGCGGTATACATCCACATCACAAGTTTAGGATTTAGTCCCCAGTTTCTACTGAAGATTCTCTTGCAAGTGTAGTATGCTATGTAGGCCTTCTGTCTACGGAATTCGATATTGGTTTTCCAGTTAAGTTTGTTATCCAGCACGACTCCAAGATACTTTGCGCTGGGGGACAATGAGAGCGCATTGCCGTCTAGCGATGGTAGCTTGAATTGTGGTAGTTTGTGTCTGTTTGTAAATAGGATAAGTTCTGTCTTCGCTGGGTTCACATTTAGGCCGCTTCTCGTAGCCCAGGCGTGTAGTCTTCCCAGGGTTCCTTCAAGGATTTCGCTAACGGTAGAGAGGAATGGACCTGTGGCTGCTATTACAACATCATCCGCATACGCCACAACTTTGACTCCCCCTCTATTGAGTTCTAGCAATATACCGTTCAGGGCTATCACCCATAGCAGTGGTGAGAGCACTCCGCCCTGTGGAGTGCCCCTGTTCACATGATGTGTAATAGAGTTAGCCCCACTTTTGTTGCCTGAATGATTCTATTGACTAGCATCGATCGTATCCATCTACAAACACTGTCGTCAACACCAATAGCTATCAAAGAGTCTATGATGGTGTCAACCTCAATGTTATTAAATGCGCCCTCGATGTCAAGAAATGCCGCCAGAGTATATTGTGCATTGTGTTAAAGTGCAACGATCTTTCTATTAAGCTCACCACTTCATGCAAAGCAGATTCAGTGGATCTGCCTTTGATGTATGCATGTTGTGCTGTTGAGAGTGTCGCTTCACCTAACAGCGATCGTATATAAATGTCGAGAAGCCTTTCCATTGTTTTAAGCACAAAGGAGGTAAGGCTTAGGGGTCTAAATCTTTTGCTGTTTCGTGGTTTTTCCTTCCTGGCTTGGGTATGAACACGACTTTTACCCTTCTCCAGCTTTTAGGAATGTAGCTCAAGGTAATGGTAGCCTTAAAAATAGTCACGAGTAACGGTGCTATCTCTCCCTTCACCCTCTGGAGCATTGCTGGGATTACGCCATCTGGTCCAGGGGATTTGAAGGGAGAGAAGCTGTTAATAGCGTAAATAATCTTTTCCCTGCTCACGATCGAGTTCAACAGTATACTGCTAGTTGAACCAGGTTCAATTGACCCTAATGTGGGTGGATGTCGAATACATCCTGGGAAATGGAACTTGACTAACGTGTTTAGAGAATCACTAGCTGTGTTCGTCCACACCCCGTTTTCTCCCTTAATGAGTGTGATATTTGTGTGTTCTTTTGATAGGATTTTGCTGAGCCTGGCTGAGTCTTTAGAGTTCTCTATAGAAGAGCAGTAAGAATGCCAGGATTTAGTTTTAGATTTTCTCAACTCCTTTTTATAAGATCTGAGGGCGCTTTTATAAGGCGCCCAGTTTTTAGTTCTAAAGCAATCATTGTAGATTTTCCTTATTTTGTCTCTTTGGGCTCTGAGATCCCCATTCCACCAGGGTGGGGATTTCTTTCTTGCTGTACTAACTGGAGTTGATCTTTCAAAGGCTTTCTTCATAACCTCTTCTACTTTATTTACTCTATTATCAAGGTCCTCAACTGTAGTGACAGTTGTATTTAGTGGGAGCTTACTTAGTTTACGCTTAATTGTGTTACTATATCTTTCCCAATTAGCGCTGTTGATAGTTTTAAAACATTTTAAATAGATTTGGCTCACAAACGCCTCTTTAGATGGTCGGAACTTTTTAATGAATCTGTAGACAAATTTCTTAAATATTTTTTATATCAAAATATATTCGAAAGACTAATAAACTTAAACTCTCTTAAACATTTGCTACTCCTGGCCAGTTTACTAAGCTCTCATCCTCGGACGAATCGTTGAACCAGAACTCGTTGTACTCATTTTACCACGTTTTTATAAACTTGCTTTCTTTTTTACTTCATTTTAATTAGAACAAATTTACATAAATATGTATAAGCACACTATTTAGTTTGCTCGATTTGTAAACAAAGCTTCTCAGCGGTGAAAAATATACTATTGTGAACAACCTAAACGAGCGAAATTCACAATAGCGCTATTCTTCATCGAATGAGCGCCATAATACCAAATGAAAATTCGTTCGCTCAGCACTTTCGACCACAGTCGAAAATCGAATGCAACTCATAATAGGGGCCACGAATTTCACTTTCTTTCACTTTTGAGCTATGCAAGCGAGTCGAAATTTTCGTTGAGTATCGAACAGAATTTTGCTTTCGTTGGTGTAGCGAAGTGTTAGAAAATTGTGAATTATTTATTATTTTGCATTTGTTTTCCTACTTTTTGGTGGCTAGGCACTAATTTGGAACACTTTTTTATTAATTTCATGCCGTTCTAACGTCGTGAGTACTAAACACAAGCTCGAAAGGCTGGTTTTACTTATGAAAAAAATCACACTACTCCGTTGCCACGATCTCTGAGAACAAAATCATAGAGCTTTTTATAGTTTTAATATATTTTAAATAGATTTGGATCACAAAATTTCTTAAATATATTGTATGTAAAAATATATTCGAAAGATTAAACTTAAACTCTCTTAAACGTTTTATGCTCCTGGCCAGTTTTCTAAGCTCTCCTCCTCTGACGAATTGTTCAACCAGAACTCCGTTGTACTCATTTTTACCACGTTTTTATAAACTCGCTTTCTTTTTTATTTCGTTTTTATTTGCACAAATTTACATAAATATGTATAAGCACACTATTTAGTTTGCTGGATTTGTAAACAAAGCTTCTCAGCGGTGAAAAATATACTATTGTGAACAACCTAAACGAGCGAAATTCACAATAGTGCTATTCTTCACCGAATGAGTGCCATAATATCAAATGAAAATTCGTTCGATCAGCACTTTCGACCACAGTCGAAGATCGAATGCAACTCATAATAGGGGCCATAATAAGGGCCACTATTGTGAACAACCTAAACGAGCGAAATTGACAATAGCGCTATTCCTCATCGAATGAGCGCCATAATCAGCCCTATTCTGCATTTCGACTCGAATCGAAATTTTCTCCGTTTGGCAACTTTGGTACTCTGCGTTCCGTTTCCTTTCGATCAATCTTCGAAATTTACGTTATACCTATTCTACATTTCGATCGTAGTTCCGTTTTTCTAAGTTGCAAATTTGTTGACGGAGAACGTTTCAATTG